AATATCTTACATTAAAAAATATACATTGAGATATGTTTGTATATTATATATATAATATGTATTTGATATGTATTTGATGTTAAAATCTATATATTATATATAATAAAATATATAATATTAGTTTGTGTATATATATATATGTATAATACATATGCAAAGAGAAGGAGAAAGAAGAAAAAAGCAAGGGAGGCCCCATTGCCTGCCTGCCTCCCCAGCAGCCCCCCGCTGTGTCTCCGGCCGCCGGGGGCCTCTCACCCTCCTATGAAACAGGCTGGGCCTCCACTGGTCTCAGCCCGAGTGGCCCCTGCAAGGTGCCATATAGAGGGGTCATTATTCTTCTGTCCAACAAGACCCCCAAATACCATCCACGTCAACTAAAGAGGCAGGTTGGCTCTCAATTGAGGAAGCAAACTCTGTTCTAAAGCTAAGAATTTTCCAGGGTCATGCTCCCTTCAGCAGCATGTATACTAAAAATAGGAATGTTCCAGGGTCATTTTGATGACTTATGCTTTTGGCCTCATACCCTGTCGTTTGAACCTAATCCCAGCACCGGGACCGTCACCTTCCAGCTTTTGGGAGTTTGCCAGCCACCATTACCGACGGTGACTGACCAGACCAGGCTGTGGCTGCTTATGGCCCTGAGTGCTGGTGACGGGTGGCCCTCCTGCCTGCCCTCAGAAACCTTGTTGCTGTTCAGAGATCCTACTGGCCTGAGCCTTTCTCTAGCAGCCCCGGCCAGACCAGTCTGGGAGATGCTACCAGCTCCTTCTGGAGGAGGCCAGGGCACGATTTGTGTCCTGCCACCACTGGATCCCGAAGACTGTGGGAGGCCTTGCTCTTCTGCACAGGCCAGGTGAGGGCAGAGCTGTCTCCCCAGAGCATCCCCCCACCCCCACCCCGAGTCCCTCAGAGGATGCCGTCACGCTGGAGTGAATGCGGGGCGGATGGCATTGTGCCAGGCTGTGCTGGCGGGACTGGCTCTGCCCGAGGCCGCCAGGCACCCACAGCTCCCGCCTCCCTTCCGGGGCAGTGCAGTCCTCCTGGCACCAGCTGCACGATCGCAGGTCTCTGAGGTGCCCGTGTGAGCTTCGCTGGGGCGGCGGCCATTCTTTCCAGAGAGGAGAAGCTCAGCTTTGTAGGGATTGAGGCTCAGTTTAAGAGAACTCGCCCTGAGCAGGCTCTGGGACCCTGGGCAAACTGATGGGTTCCCTTTGGACCTTAATTCCTCCCCTCCCTAATGGGAACAGCCGTCTCCACCGCAGACAGGTGATGCGGGGAAGCATCCTGCGTAAACGTGAGCTTCTCGGGCAGGTGTCCTGCACAGGGTCCTTGTCGAGCCAACGTTAGCTGCGTCACGCCATAGGCTGGTGGGGGGGAGTCCAGCCATGTGCCTGGTGCCTGGTGCCTTTCTTGGTCTGAGCTCTAGATTTTGTCTCTTCATCTGGGTTGCCAGCAGACACTGAAATGATGGACAGAGAATCCTTTTATCACTTTTTGAACGTAGGAGAATGCAGTCCTGAGTTGGTAGACGGCGTGTTGGGGCAGGGGAGGTGGGCATGATGATGTGGGAGTGGTGCCGGCCTCCTGCTGTGCCAAGGTGAGGGGGTGGGGGGTAGGGGGCGGTGAAAGGCTGGCACAGACCACCAGGTGCTGTGTTGCTGGGCTCTCTCCAGGTGTGGTCTGCGTAGCCTGTGGGACAAACAGGTGAGTCAAGCGGTTTATCATTTAAACAGGGGGATGCAGATTTCGAGTTCAGGTGTGTGCTCCCTGCCCTGAGCCTGACGTGCGAGTGTCCTTGGAAGGCTGTCATTGGGCAGCACTCATGGAATAGTAGGAAATAGAAAGTGTGGTGATCTGGGTACCAGTCCTGCCTTGAATTGCTCGCCTGGATTGTTCCTTTACAAGTTGGCCGTGGTGGGTGCTCATAGCAATGAAAGGAAGCACAGCCTCTGCAGGAGTATGACTGCGTGTGAGGACTCTGTCTGAGGATGAAACTCCTCTCTCCCAAATTACCCTTTTTCCTGATTTCACTCCTCTGCTCCCATTAAATTCTTCTGGAAAAGGCAGACTCCTCTGTGGCTGTCTGCGGCCAGCACATCAGCAGTGTCTCTTCTGTCTACCTCAGAGGGTCTCCTAGGCCCTGATCCTTGCTTCTCTCCCAGCACTGTCAGGGTCAGAGGCCCCTCCTCAACGCCTGTTCTCCTGCAGGAACCGCCTCATGACGCCAGGCGTGCCCACCCCACCCCCTCTCGCTTGCCAGATCCGTCTTCCCCAGACAGCTCCAGGGGTGGACCCTCAACATCAAACAGCTCCACACTGCCCCGGTGTCAGTCACTGGGGGCCATCGCAGACTGGCCCAGCCTTCCTCGCACGGGCCTCGTGCAGTGGTCCCTCCAGCCACCAGTCGTTGTCCCTTGGTGCACGGGCCATGCTTGTCTTGCCACGGCCTAGAATGTCCTCCTTGCTCTTTCCTTCCTCTGCCGCTTCTTCGGGCCCGAGACTGTCCCCCGCCCTGCCCCAAGCTTTCTTCAGTCAGTGCTCCCCTCAGGATGCTTTCCCACCGCGCGCCCTGAACGCTCTGCGCCTGCTCTGTATGGCGGCCATTGTAGCCTGACCCTGTGGCGTTTGCACACAGAGGAGGACCGTGTGCTTGGCCACATCCATGCACAGCAGGAAATTAGGGCGTCAGGGAAAGTGGTTATTACTGGTAAGCCCCATTTCTAAGTAATTCTGGGATATGAGTTTGGATCCTGTCTTTGGCCTTGATACTGATCATCGCAAAACTGCCTAACAGCCAGGTACAAAGATGTCCTTCCTCACCGTTAATGAGTTCATCCACCTCCAAGCTGCCACCAGCTTGGTCAGGCTGCGATTTATCTGTGTCCCTCTCTTCAGTTTTGGCCTCTTCTTTATAAGTATTCTGACATTACGAACATGGAAAGTGAAAGCCCGTCTTCCCAGTGCTGACAGTGTGATCCAGCCCTCCTCACACCGGCAGCACCAGCTTTTTGTAAAGTCTGGAACGTAACCAGCCGTGACACTGGAAGCAGAAATTTCAGTTTCAACGTTTATTTATTTTTGGGACAGAGAGAGACAGAGCATGAACGGGGGAGGGGCAGAGAGAGGGGGAGACACAGAATCGGAAACAGGCTCCAGGCTCTGAGCCATCAGCCCAGAGCCTGACGCGGGGCTCGAACTCACAGACCGCGAGATCGTGACCTGGCTGAAGTCGGACGCTTAACCGACTGCGCCACCCAGGCGCCCCGAAATTTCAGTTTCAAGGATGACTTTAGCAAAGTATCAAGTCATGAATGTGATTTCTACCTTTAATTTCTTTCTAAAGACATAACATCACTCTTCTGCCCCTATTCAAATTACCAGGTCAGTTGCTACTTTGAGATTGAATTAAGAGAATTCTTAGATGTCTGGCTACTGAACCCAGTTTTAGAGACTGAAAATGGAATTTTGCAATTTATTACAATCCTAGTTTGGGGAAGAAAATTTGCATCATTTAGCAGGTATTTAAGATGTTCACAACATTTCATTTCTCAGTGCACATAAATATGCATTATGTCGGGCACTGGAATGTCAGCAAACTAATGCAACTTGTAATTTGATTCATCTGGGCACAGCATTTAATGAGGAAATATTTAGTGTCAGTTTTTGCCTTTAGGTTACAAATAGGATTATGGTAGGCAGTAGTTTATGCAGAAAAGCGTTTTATAAATAGTAAAGCACCAAATAAATGCCACTTTTTGTTCTAAAATATATGTTTAAAAGTAATCCTAAAGGGAAAACGTCTCCTCTGTTGAAGAAAGTAATTAAAACTTATTTTAAATGCAAGAAAAAACAAAGCGGGGAAAGGCAAGAAAATGATAGCATGTCCGTGTTCATCAGGCTGCTAGCGTAATAACAGTCCCGAGGTATCAGCAACTTAACACCGTGAATGTTGCTTTCCTGCCACCACAAAGTTGGCTCTCAGTCTCTAGGACTGTGTCCTCTGCTGCAGTGAGGGCTGTGGCCTCACCGTCATGGGCACTACAGCAGGGGACGGCTTCTGCCCACAGCCTGCTGCCCATGCTAACGATGAGGTCCTGCCCAACTGGAAGGGCCTGCGGGGGAACCATGGAGTGTTTGGGAGGGCCGTAGTCCCCACCACCTGTCCTGACCTTCTCTGCAGAGCAGTCTCCTAAACCTTCTGTATTCAGGCAGCCTGGGGGACCCTCTGTGAGGTAGAAAACTGCAGAAAAGCCTTCTGTTAAACGTTTTCTTCTTTGACCTGTGTCTTCAGGATAAGCCATTGTATTTACCGACATGTATATTCTAGCAGCTTTTACTTTTTTCTGAAAGAATATTCCTAACGTGTGAACTGCGTGTTCTGTTGGCGGTGTTGATAGTCACTGCTAACTGAGCTGCTGGCCCGGTGCGGCTTTGTCACCGTGTCACCGTTGTCACCATCAGCTACTGCCTTGACTTCCTATTAGGGTAGGTTGAAGACTCTGGCATAAAATTAATTTTCATTTAGCATTTTAAAATTAGCCTTCGTTTCTCAGCTATTTCTGTAATTTACTGCTTAAGGTACTTTATTTTGATCGGTGCGAATCTTTCACCATGTAATGTTGGAGCCCTAGGGAGTCTATCTGAACTCCCCGGTAAGACATTCCATACAAGATTAAGGAAGGAAGAAGTAAAGTTTATTTCAGTATAAGAAAAACCATCTGTAGGATATGCACAAAGGAATACTGAGACTTTTTCGTGTAGTGGTCAGTTCATACTTTAAGCTGGTGTCATAGCTGAAGCCACCCGACAAGATGTCCACACGCAGGATCGGTGCCGTATGTTTTAGTGCAGAAACATAGTCTGCCGTCTGATACCAGGGACCGCTATGAGCTGACCGACAGCAGCCCTGCCACTGAACGTAGCTGCACCACCTTTTCCCCCTGCTTTAAAGTCAAGGTGGCCCATCAGATTTAAAAACTCAGCAAAAAACACTGTCAAGAAAATGAGAAGGCAAGCCACAGACTGGGAGAAAAGACTCCTAATGCGTATATCTGACAAAAGACTCGTATCCAGAATATACAAGGAAATCCTCTAACTCAGTCATCAAAAGACAAACCATTAAATTTGAAAAATGAGCAAAAGACTCAAACGGGTACTTCTCAAAAGAAGATATACCCCATAAGCACATTAAAAGAGTCTCAGCATCATTAGTTATCAGGGAAATGCAAATTAAAACCATGACAAATTACCTCTTCACACCCAGAATGGCCAACATGGAAAGGGTGCCAACACCAAGTGCTGGCGAGGGTGTGGGCAGCCGGCCTGCACTTCTGGTGGGCGTGCAGAATGGCAAATGGGGGGGCGCCTGGGTGGTTCAGTCGGTTAAGCATCCACCTTCGGCTCAGGTCATGATCTCTCAGTCTGTGAGTTCGATCCCCGCGTCGGGCTCTGTGCTGGCAGCTCAGAGCCTGGAGCCTGCTCCGGATTCTGTGTCTCCCTCTCTCTCTGCCCGTCCCCCACTTGTACTCTGTCTGTGTCTCTCAAAAGTAAACATTAAAAAATAAAAAAAAAGAATGGCAAATGAAAGTCTACCCCACAACCTTGCACTTCCACTTCTAGGTACCGTTCAAGAAAAACAACGCGTCCACAAAAAGTCTTCCATAGCGACTTTACTCCTGATAGCAAGAAGTGAGCGTGGCCCGAGTGTGCTCACTGGGTGGCCGGGTGGCCGGGTGGCTGGGCAAACCTTGTTGTCGACAGGCAGCCGAGCAACATTCAGCAACCTGAGAAGCGACACTGCGTGTGAATCCTGCGCACAGTTCACTGAGTCAAAGAGGCCAGACCCCAGAGACCGCATACCTGTGGTTGTTTTTATGGACCTCTAGACCAGACTAGTAACCCGTGGGTGCCTCAGGGGAGGGGACTGACTCGAAGGGGCCCAAGGGAACTTTCTGGGGGATGAAAATGTGCTCTAACTCGACAAGACACGGTTACCTGGGGATGTTCATCCGTCAAAACCGACGGATCAGAACACGTCAGATGTGTGGGTTCACCAGAGTCCCCGCGGTCGGGTAGCTGGTGTGGAGGAGCTGAGCTGGCCTGGGTTCAGACCTTTACCTCCCGGCTTAGCCACAGTCTCACCCTGGGACCTTGGGCAAATGTCTCTGTGTCTGAGTCCTGACGGCCTCCTGAGACTGAGCCGATAATCACTGCGTGCCACTGCTCCATTGCAGGCTTTGGATTGAAGCATCCCACACTTAGCCGCACCTTGTCCCAAGGCTGTAACCAGGCTGTGCTTTTGGCCACATAGACCATCAATCAAGTGTAATTTCTCTTGAGAGCCTCCTCCCATTTCCCTTCCTCTTAAAATTGGTTTAATCAATAAGGAGAAATGTAGAAAGAAAAATGAAGATTCTAGGGGGCTTAGTTCATTATTAATTCTCATTCGGGTCCAGATTTCCTGATAAAGAGGGGCGTCCTCTCCCCAAATGCAGAATTTGCTGGTGCTGTGCACGGATGTGATGAAGCTAGCGACGGGGCCCACGCAGGGACTAACCCTGCGCTTATCGGCCCCGGTGCCCGGTGCCGGCAGCATGCTGACTGCCCCGCCCGGTGCCAGAGAGCCTGCCGAGTGGCGCCTGGCCGGTGGCAGGGCGGCCAGAGGCCTCGGAAATGCCCCTGAGCTGTGGTGTTCTCAGACCACAGGGTCAGCCGCAAGAGCAGCCTCACCTCTTTCTTTGAAGGATAAATCAAAGTCCATAGATTTAAGTGAAGGATTCGTCATTTTACAAAAGCAATTAGCGTGTGGCCTTTTCCTTCATTTGCCTGCAGGACCTATAAAACTGACAAGCCTGGCGTGTGGAAATCAGCACATCTGGGCCTGTGATTCCAGGGGCGGAGTTTACTTCCGAGTAGGAACCCAGCCTCTCAATCCCAGTCTGATGCTTCCGGCCTGGATAATGATTGAGCCGCCTGTCCAGGTAAGCCAACCCTAACTGACACCAGGCTGCCCCTCGTAAAGGCGGGAGCTGCCGGATCGCTGTGCCGGGGAGGGGACCACCCCCGCCTGCATGTGCACCCCAGCAAGCGGGGGCAGAGGCACATGTCCAGGGAGCAAGGCGCGCCCCCAGCCCGCGCTCACCTGTCTCTCCCAGGCGCGGAATTTAGAGCCGAATGCATCGTTAGAGATGATCTGAGCCAACACTTAAGGTTTTTTTCTTCTCAAAATAAAAATATTTTGCCTTTTTACAAAACGAACGTTGTGTTTTAAAAAAATAAAATCAGGGGCATCTGGCTGGCTCAGTCCAGTGAGTATGCGACCCTTGATCTCGAGATCGTGAGTTCAAGCCCCAAGTTGGATGTAGAGATTACTAATAAATAAATAAGAATAAAATCAAGCAGTACCCAGAAGTACGGCAAAGAAAATAAAAGCCACTCAGATCTTGTCAGCACCTTGTGAGTACCTCTCCTGGCTTGTTGAGTTCTGTGTCCCGTCCCCACCCCCACGGCATTTCAGCTTACCGTATGTTCCCAGTGTTTTTCTTTTCTACTTGACTCTTCCACCATTGATCACAGAAGCAGGGGTCTGATTTTAGTGCACTATTTAATTACCTTTAAAGATCTAACGGGCCTGGTTGCTATACTAGGTTTATTTCTGTTAAAATGTATAATTAGGGGTCTGTGATTTCGTGACTTATCTGCTCCAACTCCTGCTAGGCCCTATTTTGTGAATTTGTTGGAAAAAACATGATGTTGCCATTTGCAGAGGCAGCAACGGGACAGTGGTTAGTCCTTAAACAGAAGAATGCTTAAATGGGGACAGGCAGGAAATCAGGTGTTTGGGTAAAGGCCCGCGTTCATGACTATCTATGTTTTGTGCATCATCAACCCCCAGGGACAGAGTGACAGAAGTCGAGGGGCAAGTTGCAGGGCCATCTCTGAGGACCTCCAGTCCTCCCAGGAGACATGGGGTGTGTGCTGGGAGGCCCTATGGTTGGACCAGAGGTCGTGTTGGAGTTCGAGGTCCTGGCCACAGAGGCCCCGCGTCCCCACTGGTAGATGTTCCTCCCTCATGGAGTTAAGGGGAGGGTGGGTAGAATAATGTCCGATGGCACCTTGTGAATCAGAAAGCGCTGTGCAGACGTGAGGTGACATATGATGAACGAGGATGCGGGCTCACTTCTCTGCACGCAGTGGCGCAGCGGGAGCAGGTCACCCGGCAGAGGGGAGTTTGTCATCACTGGCCTTGCTGAGCGCTGCCTGTGCACAGTGATGAGCAGAGACAAGCCAGCGTGCGGCCCGCTTCGTTGGCGTTCTGAAATTCTCTTTACGCAAGGCACCCTCTTGTTGCCTGAGCCCTTTGGTACGTCGCTGTTAGCACATTCCTTTTTTTTTTTCTAAGAGCTTTATATTATTTCTTTTAAGAGTTACAGTTCACCCTTTCATAGTGTAAAATTCAGGGGGTTTTAGTATATTCAGGAAGTTGAGCAACACTTACTACTACCCTGTTCCAGAACTTTCTCATCACCCCAAAAAGAAAGCACATACCCATGAGTAGTAATGGTAGGGTGGGTAGGTAGCCCATATCCTCTTCTGGAACCCCCACCCCCTCAGCCACTAATCTCCCTTCTATTTTTATGCCTTTGCCTATTCTGGATCTGTCTGTTCATATAATGGAATCGTACAATAAGTGGCCTTCTCTGCCATCTTTCACTTAGCGTCGTGTTTTCAAGTACTGTAGCACATTGTAGCATGTATCAGTGCTTCGTTCCCTTTTGTGACTAATATTTCATCATGTGGATAGATGTGTTGTTTATCTGTTCATCAGTTGGTGGACGCTCAGGGTGTTCCCACGTGTGGGCTGCCGTGAATAATACTTCATGTATGAGTGTTTGTGTGGACTTAACATTTTCCATTCAATAGAACGTGTAGATACCTTTAAAGGGAATTGCAGGGTCAGTTGGTGAATGTACATTTAAATGTTTAAGGAACTGGGGCACCTGGCTGGCTCAGTCGGTAGAGCATGTGTCTCTGGATCTCGGGATTGTGGGTTCGAGCCCCACATTGGGCGTAGAGATTACTTAAAAATAAAATTGATGGGGTGCCTGGGTGGCGCAGTCGGTTGAGCGTCCGACTTCAGCCAGGTCACGATCTCGCGGTCCGTGAGTTCGAGCCCCGCGTCAGGCTCTGGGCTGATGGCTCAGAGCCTGGAGCCTGTTTCCGATTCTGTGTCTCCCTCTCTCTCTGCCCCTCCCCCGTTCATGCTCTGTCTCTCTCTGTCCCAAAAATAAATAAAAATTAAAAAAAACGTTGAAAAAAAAATAAAATTGAATAAACGGACGAGCTGATTTCCATAGTGACTGTGTCATTTTGCCTTCCACCAGTAATGTATTAGAGTTCTCGTTTCTCCACATCCTTTCCAAAAAGTTGTTCTTGCCCGATGTTTTTATTCTAGCCATCCTAGTAGGCGTAAAAATGGCATCTCGTGGTTTTGACTTGCATTTCCCTAAATGACTAATGATGTTGAAGATCTTTTCATGCACTTACTGGTCCTTTGTATATCTTCTTTGGAGAACTGTGTATTCAGATTCTTTGCTCATTTGTCAACTGAGCTATTTATCTTTAAATTCTTGAGTTATAAGAGTTCTGTAGGTATTCTGGGTTCTAGACCCTTATCAGATACATGATTTACATATGCTTTCGGTGAGTTATGTGCTGACTGTTGCCTGATCCAAGGTCTTGAAGATTTGCATCTGTATTTTCTTTTAGACATCTTACAGTTCTAGCCCTTACATTTAGATGTTTGATTTATTTTCAGTTAATTTTCATATAGGGTACAAGGTGGGTGTCCAAATTCATTCCTATACACATGAATATCCAATTATACCAGCACCATTTGTTCTTTTTGATTCAATTATCATGAAGGGCTGTCAAAATCAATTCATCATAAATGGAAGGACTTTTTTACTTTAGTTCTATTTCAGTGATCTGTATGTCCGTCATCAGGCCAGTACCACATTGTCCTGATTACTTAGCTTTGTTGTAAATTTTGAAATCAGGAAGTGATTTTTCTTTTTCAAGATTGTTTTGGGGGTACCTGGGTGGCTCAGCAGTTAAGCATCCAACTCTTGATTTCAGCTCAGGTCATGATTTCACAGTTCGTGGGTTTGAGCCCCGCCTTGGGCTCTACACTGGCAGTGTGGAGCCTGCTTGGGTCTCTCTCTCTCCTTCTCTCTCTGCCCTCTCCCACTTTCTCTGTTTATCTCTCTCAAAATAAATAAATAATATAAACTTTTTTAAAAATACTTTTTTTTTTCTACTCTGGTCCTTTGCACATCCATATGAATTTTAGGATCAGTTTGTCAATTTCTGCAAAAAAAATGCTAACATTTTTATAGGAATTGTGTTGAATCTGTAGATCACTTGGGGAAGCATTGCCATCTTCATAGTATTAAATCTTCCAATCCATGAACATGGGCTGTCTTTTCATTTATTTAGATCTTCTTTAATTTCTTTCAGCAGTTTTGTGGTTTTCAGAGTATGTGTTTTTAACTACTTTTGTTAAATGTATTTCTAAGTCATTTATTCTTTTTGATACTACTATAAATGGAATTTTTTTAATGCTTATTTATTTTTGAGAGAGAGAGAGTGTGTGTGTGTGCAGGAGTGCACAAGCTGGGGAGGGGCAGAGAGAGAGACACACACACACAGAATCCAAAGCAGGCTCCAGGCTCTGAGCTGTCAGCACAGATCCTGATGTGGGGCTCAAACTCACAAATCACAAGATTGTGACCTGAGCCGAAGTCAGATGCTTAACTGACTAAGCCACCCAGGCACCCCGGAATTGTTTTCTTAATTCCATTTTCAGTTTGTTCATTGCTAGTATAAGTTTCTGTATATTGATTTTGTATCTGGAAACCTTGCTAAACTTATTTTAGTTCTAATAACTTTTTTGTGGATTCCTTAGGATTTCTTATGTACAAAATCATGTCATCTACAAAGAGAGATAATTTTACTTCTTTTCCTATCTGGATGCCTTTTCTTTCTTTCTTTCTTTCTTTCTTTCTTTCTTTCTTTCTTTCCTCCCTCCCTCCCTCCCTCCCTCCCTCCCTCCCTCCCTCCTTCCTTCCTTCCTTCCTTCCTTCCTTCCTTCCTTCCTTCCTTCCTTCCTTCCTTAAATGCTTATTTATTTTTTAGAGAGAGACAGAGCACAAGCAGGGCAGGGGCAGAGAGAGAGAGGGAGACACAGAATCCAAAGCAGGCTCCAGGCTATGAGTTGTCAGCACAGAGCCTGACGTGGGGCTTGAATCCACACAGTGAGATCATGACGTGAGCCAAAGTTGGACGTTTAACCAACTGAGCTACCCAGGCGCCCCATATTTCTTTTCTTGCTTAATTACCCTGACTAGAACCTTCTGTACGAAGTTGAGTAAAAGTGGCAGGAGTAGACACGCTCGTTGTGTACCTGATCATAGGGGGAAAGCATCTAGTCTTTCACTGTTAACTAATGATATTAACTGCACATTTTTTACAGATGCCCTTTTCAGACTGAATAAGTTCCCTTTATTCCTAGTTTGTTGAATGTTTTTTTTTTTCCATGAAAGAATGTTGGTTATTGTCAAGTGCCTTTTCTGTATCTATTGAGATGATCATGTGTGTTTTCTCCTTTATTAATATGATATGTTATATTGACTGACTTTTGTATGTTGAACCTTTTGTTTCCGGGATAAATCCCAGTTGGTCATGATATGTAATCTCTTGTATATGTTGCTGTATTTGGTCTGCTAGTATTTTGTCAGGGATTTTTGTGTCCTTATTCATGAGAGAGATTGGTCTTTGGTTTTCTTTTCTTGTCATGTGTTTGTCTGGTTTCGCTATCAGGGTAATGCTGGCCTCTTAGAATGAGTCGAGAAGTGTTTCTTCCTCTTCTATATTTTGGAAGAGTTCCTGAAGGGTTAGTGCTGATTATTCTTAAAGCATT